ACACGGATTGGAACTGGGACAAGGAATGGGACACGGATTGGAACTGGGACAAGGAATGGGACACGGATTGGAACTGGGACAAGGAATGGGACACGGATTGGAACTGGGACAAGGAATGGGACACGGATTGGAACTGGGACAAGGAATGGGACACGGATTGGAACTGGGACTGGGACAGGCTCTCATATTCAGAGACACTTGAGACACCTTATACAGAGAAATGTACCGACTTCTCATGCCCATCAACCAATCACCGTTGGCTGCAGCATGAGACACCAGTTCGGCTTTCATCTAAAGTCCCACACGTCTCTGAATATGAGTGAGAGACTAGGAATGAGACAGGGACTGAGAAACTTGTCAAATGTAAGAAGAACAACTTCCTTACCTGACGCCTTCAGTAGTTCTTGGAAGTATCCGGCAACAAGTGTAGCAATCTTGTCTCCATCCAACATAGAGTACTTGCCATTTTTGTCAATGAAACTATAGATAACACGATCAGCATCCCCATCTACAGATACACACCTAGTATTCTGTGCCTGAGGCACACCTTCAGGCCATTTCTGTTGCACCTGGGAAAAAGAAAAAATATATAAAAATAAAATCTTAAAGGTCTTTCTAAAGCATTCAGTATGTCATAATAAAACCATATAGAAATAATTCATATTTGAAATTGGGTATCTTTACACATATTGCTAACAGACTCACCAACCTTCACATAATCTGCCCCACAGAGATGGTTCAGAACACCTTCTCCCTTGTTGTACATAGTTGACTTGATGGAATCACCAAGATGCTGTGTAAACCTCTCCATCATGATTGCACCAACTCCATTAGCCCCGTCAAACAGGACTGTGGGTTCATAGTTGCCTTTACTGGCTCCAGACACACGCAGCTTTGCAAAGGCTTGGGCAATCTTCTTATAATAGCCCTCTTCTGTAGGTTCACCATACCTGCAAGAGGTAGAGTTCATAGGCTACACATGAAGTTGAAAGCTGATATGAATGGCAAAAGGGAAAGAAAAAAAAGAGGAAACTTACAGAAAGAGGCGAGATAATAAAATGAAATAGAAAATAGGAAACAAAACAGAAAATATATAAAAATAAAATCTTAATGGTCTTTCTAAAGCATTCAGTATGTCATAATAAAACCATATAGAAATAATACATATTTGAAATTGGGTATCTTTACACATATTGCTAACAGACCCACCAACCTTCACATAATCTGCCCCACAAAGATGGTTCAGAACACCTTCTCCCTTGTTGTACATAGTTGACTTGATGGAATCACCAAGATGCTGTGTAAACCTCTCCATCATGATTGCACCAACTCCATTAGCCCCGTCAAACAGGACTGTGGGTTCATAGTTGCCTTTACTGGCTCCAGACACACGCAGCTTTGCAAAGGCTTGGGCAATCTTCTTATAATAGCCCTCTTCTGTAGGTTCACCATACCTGCAAGAGGTAGAGTTCATAGGCTACACATGAAGTTGAAAGCTGATATGAATGGCAAAAGGGAAAGAAAAAAAAGAGGAAACTTACAGAAAGAGGCGAGATAATAAAATGAAATAGAAAATAGGAAAAAAGCAAAAAATATATAAAAATAAAATCTTAATGGTCTTTCTAAAGCATTCAGTATGTCATAATAAAACCATATAGAAATAATTCATATTTGAAATTGGGTATCTTTACACATATTGCTAACAGACTCACCAACCTTCACATAATCTGCCCCACAGAGATGGTTCAGAACACCTTCTCCCTTGTTGTACATAGTTGACTTGATGGAATCACCAAGATGCTGTGTAAACCTCTCCATCATGATTGCACCAACTCCATTAGCCCCGTCAAACAGGACTGTGGGTTCATAGTTGCCTTTACTGGCTCCAGACACACGCAGCTTTGCAAAGGCTTGGGCAATCTTCTTATAATAGCCCTCTTCTGTAGGTTCACCATACCTGCAAGAGGTAGAGTTCATAGGCTACACATGAAGTTGAAAGCTGATATGAATGGCAAAAGGGAAAGAAAAAAAAGAGGAAACTTACAGAAAGAGGCGAGATAATAAAATCCAACAGAAGTAACCCTAAATCATTAAAAGCAACATCACCTCCCAATCCAGATCCCAAGGTCCCCCACTTTCTCTCAAGCTTTACACCCGAACAAAAAAACGATCCCTACCTTTTGTATCCCGAGCACGCAGCGTCGCCAGCAATCCCATGCGGTACATGATGAAGTCCAACTCATCTGCTCTGTAAATCAATCTAAAATTAACACCACAGGCAGCAGATAGTCCTGCTTATCATCTATCACATAGACTTTCTTGCTTTGTGTTCAATGTGTCGCTCGAAAGCCATTTTGTTATAACATGTAATGCCAAGTATTTACACCTGATCTTTAGTTCTTTTTCTCTTTCTCCTTCTTATTCTTATTCTAATTCTCTCTCATTCTTATTCTTATTCTAATTCTCTCTCATTCTTATTCTTATTCTAATTCTCTCTCATTCTTATTCTTATTCTAATTCTCTCTCATTCTTATTCTTATTCTAATTCTCTCTCATTCTTATTCTTATTCTAATTCTCTCTCATTCTTATTTGCATTCTCTCTCTCTCATTCTTATTTGCATTCTAATTCTCTCTCTCTCATTCTTATTTGCATTCTAATTCTCTCTCTCTCATTCTTATTTGCATTCTAATTCTCTCTCATTCTTATTTGCATTCTCTCTCTCTCATTCTTATTTGCATTCTCTCTCTCTCATTCTTATTTGCATTCTCTCTCTCTCATTCTTATTTGCATTCTCTCTCTCTCATTCTTATTTGCATTCTCTCTCTCTCATTCTTATTTGCATTCTCTCTCTCTCATTCTTATTTGCATTCTAATTCTCTCTCATTCTTATTTGCATTCTCTCTCTCTCATTCTTATTTGCATTCTCTCTCTCTCATTCTTATTTGCATTCTCTCTCTCTCATTCTTATTTGCATTCTCTTTCTCTCATTTTCATTCTCTCTCTCTCATTTTCATTCTCTCTCTCATTTTCATTCTCTCTCACTCTTTCTCATTTCCATTCTCTCTTTCTCATTTTCATTCTTTCTCATTCTCTCTCACTCTCTTTCTCATTTCCATTCTCTCTTTCTAATTTTCATTCTTTCTCATTCTCATTCTCTCTCTTATTCTCCCTCTCTCAAAATGCCACGTGTGCAATTTGCTCATTGCATTTTTTTAATCTCTTTCACGGAGTAATGGATTTATTGCTGCTTGTTTTGCCACATTTTTGCTTTCTTTCTGACAAACCATATTCTGTTACACTTTATTTCTAAGGAGACTTTGAGGGATAGTATGATATGTTCTCATTCCAAAAAAAAATTAATAAAGTGACTACGTTTTGCTTTGATAGTAACCAAGTAAGAAATGCCTTATCATTTCTTATCTCAATTAACACCTGTTATCAAATTATTATCTGAAAACTCTTTATGCCTCTTGTGGTTACAATACAACTTCACACTATATAATGGGCCTTGACTACATTAGATATATTACAATTACTTCTATATATATATATATATATATATATATATATATATATATATATATATATATATATATATATATATATATATATATATATATATATATATATATATATATATATACTTTTTTCTTTTTTTTTAATTCAATTCAGATAAAGTTATAAGCTGCAAACTAAAGTACAGTTTATTCACACTAAAATATCTTTCTGATTGTGAACAAGCTATATATAACTATAAATAATGTGTTAATACTAATAGATACAGCAGTAAATGGTCTTGCATTCCATTGACTATGTCTGATTGTCTGTCAGTCTGCCTGCATCTGTCTGTCTGTCTGCCTGCATCTGTCTGTCTGTGCTTCTGTCTGTATGTCTGCCTCTGTCTGTATGTCTGTGTCTGTATGTCTGTATCTGTCTGTCTGTCTGCCTGTGCCTGTCTATCTTCCTGTGTCTGTCTGTCTGTCTACCTGTGTCTGTCTGCTTGTCTCTGTCTGTCTGTCTACCTATGTCTGTCGGTCTGTGCTTCTGTCTGTATGTCTGCCTCTGTCTGTATGTCTGTATCTGTCTGTCTGTCTGCCTGTGTCTGTCTATCTGTCTGTCTGTCTGTCTGCCTGTGTCTGTCTATCTGTGTCTGTCTGTCTGTCTGTCTGCCTGTGTCTGTCTGTCTGTCTGTCTGCCTGTGTCTGTCTGTCTGTCTGCCTGCATCTGTCTGTCTGTCTGCCTGCATCTGTCTGTCTGTCTGCCTGCATCTGTCTGTCTGTCTGCCTGCATCTGTCTGTCTGTCTGCCTGCATCTGTCTGTCTGTCTGCCTGCATCTGTCTGTCTGTCTGCCTGCATCTGTCTGTCTGTCTGCCTGCATCTGTCTGTCTGTCTGCCTGCATCTGTCTGTCTGTCTATCTACATCTGTCTGTGCTTGTCTGTCTGTCTGCCTCTGTCTGTATGTCTGCATCTGTCTGTCTATCTGTGTCTGTCTGTCTGTCGGTCTATCTGTGTCTGTCTCTCCATACCAGTCTGTCTGCCTGTGTCTATCTTTCTGTGTCTGTCTGTCTGTCTGTCTACCTGTGTCTGTCTGCCTGTTTCTGTCTGTCTACCTGTGTCTGTCTGTCTGTCTACCTGTGTCTGTCTGTCTGTCTACCTGTGTCTGTCTGTCTACCTGTGTCTGTCTGTCTACCTGTGTCTGTCTGTCTACCTGTGTCTGTCTGTCTACCTGTGTCTGTCTGTCTACCTGTGTCTGTCTGTCTACCTGTGTCTGTCTGTCTACCTGTGTCTGTCTGTCTACCTGTGTCTGTCTGTCTACCTGTGTCTGTCTGTCTACCTGTGTCTGTCTGCCTTCTCTGTCTGTCTGCCTGTATGTCGGTCTGTCTGCCTGTGTCTGTCTGTGTCTGTGTGTCTGTCTGCCTGCATCTGTCTGTCTATCTACATCTGTCTGTGCCTCTGTCTGTCTGTCTGCTTGCATCTGTCTGTCTGTCTGCTTGCATCTGTCTGTCTGTCTGCTTGCATCTGTCTGTCTGTCTGCTTGCATCTGTCTGTCTGTCTATCTGCATCTGTCTGTCTGTCTATCTGCATCTGTCTGTGCTTCTGCCTGTATGTCTGCAACTGTCTGTATGTCTGCAACTGTCTGTATGTCTGCAACTGTCTGTATGTCTGCAACTGTCTGTATGTCTGCAACTGTCTGTATGTCTGCAACTGTCTGTATGTCTGCAACTGTCTGTATGTCTGCAACTGTCTGTATGTCTGCAACTGTCTGTATGTCTGCAACTGTCTGTATGTCTGCAACTGTCTGTATGTCTGCAACTGTCTGTATGTCTGCATCTGTCTGTATGTCTGCATCTGTCTGTATGTCTACATCTGTCTGTATGTCTGCATCTGTCTGTATGTCTGCATCTGTCTGTATGTCTGCATCTGTCTGTATGTCTGCATCTGTCTGTATGTCTGCATCTGTCTGTATGTCTGCATCTGCTGTATGTCTGCATCTGTCTGTATGTCTGCATCTGTCTGTATGTCTGCATCTGTCTGTATGTCTGCATCTGTCTGTATGTCTGCATCTGTCTGTATGTCTGCATCTGTCTTTCAGTTTGTCTGTCTATCTGTGTCTGTCTGTCAGTCTGTGTCTGTCTGTCGGTCTGTGTCTGTCTGTCGGTCTGTGTCTGTCTGTCGGTCTGTGTCTGTCTGTCGGTCTGTGTCTGTCTGTCAGTCTGTGTCTGTCTGTCGGTCTGTGTCTGTCTGTCGGTCTGTGTCTGTCTGTCGGTCTGTGTCTGTCTGTCGGTCTGTGTCTGTCTGTCGGTCTGTGTCTGTCTCTCCATACCAGTCTGTCTGCCTGTCTATCTGTCCATCCCAGTCTGTCTGTCTGTCTATCTGTCCATCCCAGTCTGTCTGTCTGTCTATCTGTCCACCCCAGTCTGTCTGTCTGTCTATCTGTCCATCCCAGTCTGTCTGTCTGTCTATCTGTCCATCCCAGTCTGTCTGTCTGTCTATCTGTCCATCCCAGTCTGTCTGTCTGTCTATCTGTCCATCCCAGTCTGTCTGTCTGTCTATCTGTCCATCCCAGTCTGTCTGTCTGTCTATCTGTCCATCCCAGTCTGTCTGTCTGTCTATCTGTCTATCCCAGTCTGTCTGTCTGTCTATCTGTCCATCCCAGTCTGTCTGTCTGTCTATCTGTCCATCCCAGTCTGTCTGCTGTCAGTCTGTGTCTGTCTATCTGTCCATGCCAGTCTGTCTGTCTGTCTGTCTATCTGTCCATCCAGTCTGTCTGAGTCTGTGTCTGTCTATCTGTCCATGCCAGTCTGTCTGTCGGTCTATCTGTCCATCCCAGTCTGGTCTGTCTGTCTATCTGTCCATGCAGTCTGTCTGTCTGTCTATCTGTCCATCCCAGTCCTGTCTGTCTGTCTATCTGTCCATCCCATCTGTCTGTCTGTCTATCTGTCCATCCAGTCTGTCTGTCTGTCTATCTGTCCTCCCAGTCTGTCTGAGTCTGTGTCTGTCTATCTGTCCATGCAGTCTGTCTGTCTGTCTATCTGTCCATCCCAGTCTGTCTGAGTCTGTGTCTGTCTATCTGTCCATGCCAGTCTGTCTGTCGGTATCTGTCCATCCCAGTCTGTCTGTCTGTCTATCTGTCCATCCCAGTCTGTCTGTCTGTCTATCTGTCCATCCCAGTCTGTCTGTCTGTCTATCTGTCCATCCCAGTCTGTCTGTCTGTCTATCTGTCCATCCCAGTCTGTCTGTCTGTCTATCTGTCCATCCCAGTCTGTCTGTCTGTCTATCTGTCCATCCCAGTCTGTCTGAGTCTGTGTCTGTCTATCTGTCCATGCCAGTCTGTCTGTCTGTCTATCTGTCCATGCCAGTCTGTCTGTCTGTCTATCTGTCCATGCCAGTCTGTCTGTCTGTCTATCTGTCCATGCCAGTCTGTCTGTCTGTCTATCTGTCCATCCCAGTCTGTCTGAGTCTGTGTCTGTCTATCTGTCCATGCCAGTCTGTCTGTGTCTGTCCGTCCGTCTGTCTGTGTCTATCTGTCTGTCTGTGTCTGCCTGTCTACTTATTTGTCTGTATCTATCAAATAGAAATGTATCCACTTGTCAGTGTCTACCTGTCAGGGTCTACCTGTCAGGGTCTACCTGTCAGGGTCTACCTGTCAGGGTCTACCTGTCAGGGTCTACCTGTCAGGGTCTACCTGTCAGGGTCTACCTGTCAGGGTCTACCTGCCATGGTCCACTTGTTTCAATTTACCTCTGACCACCTGCCAATCTGCCTATCTAAACATCTACCAGTCTCTTTACCTGTCTGTCTCTTATCTATCCATTTATAACTGTCTCTGCATCTGGCCTATATATTATCACTGTCAATGTTTGCCTTTATGCCCCCATGTTTCTATCAACTCCTGTCTACCTCTGTCCATCTAAGTGTCTCTGTTTGTCTGTCTCCGTCTCTTGTCTGTTCTTCATAACTGGGATATTTACACAATTTAAGAGCCTCTCTCTCTTCC